TTACAAATTTGTTATAATCATTAATGTACTCGGTAACAAAATTGTATTGCACATATAGAGAATAATCATTGTTTAGCGCTAAGGCGAAAAAATTAATTAGCAATGATTTCTTATTGTTTGGTTGTTTGTTTTTTTTTCTTTTCCTTTTTTTTTTTAAGTTTTCTTTTTTTTCTTTTTTTTTCAATATTTTCTTTTTAAATATTGTGACAAAGACAAATGAATATTTTGAAAATTGGATAAAATGTCTTTTCTTCTTTTATTTTATTTACGTCGTTATTGTATTATACTCACAATCAGTCAGTAAAACGTACACGTAAATAGCGTTCATGATTTTTCGCTTTATTTTTGTTTTGTTTTTGGTATCTTTTTCTTTAAATTTTAAGTATAATCTCTCTCTCTCTCTCTTTCTCTCTCTCTCTCTCTCTCTCTCTCTTAAGATTATTCACGTAATAAAGAACGAAGCATTCTTCAACGTAAAAAATAATTATTTAGAGCAGGTAAAGTTTAAATAGGTTTCTCCTGGGTTTTTCTTCTTCTTTCTTTTTGTTTTTTGTTTTTTTTTTTTACATAGAAATTCCTTAGATCAAAATACATCTAATTTTTTCGATAGATAAGCCGAACAATTTTTTTCGAACTTTTTAGTCAGTCGTCACATTATTCAAAAGCTTGCTACATAAAAACTTGATAATTTACATAAAATATTAGAAAAACAATTTAAATAACAATACGTATCACTATCATTTGAGTGGGAATAAACTGATTCTCTCTTTTACTCTTTTTTCATTATTTTTCATTCTTTTTTTTTTTCTTGCTTTTTTTTTCTTTTCTTTTTTTCTAATTATTTATTTTTTAACGAGTACAAAAGCAACGCGAATATTTATCCATCGCGTTAAAATATGACAATTAATTTAATTAATCATAGATATATATATATTTATCATTTTTTCAAACTTGTCAATTTTTATTTTTATCTACAGAAGAGTGACTATTTGGTTCGTTTTTGTTCGGCTGTTCTTTTTTTAAGTATTTTTCCTTTTTTTTTTATTTTTTAAATAATAAAATGAAATGTTCAATGTAGATGATTTAGTCAAGTTCAATCTATTTCATATAAAATTATATATTTAAACAATCATTTGTCAAAGTATTACGATACGTGAGAATTGAAAAAACACAAAATATTGAATACTTAAAAACATCAAATAATTTTATACGAATTAGTACGATTAGAAGATTTTTCACATAATTTATCGTAATTAACGTAAACGCAAACTCACAATATTTACTTTTTAAACTATTCCATTAATTTAATAATAACAATACTTATTTATTCATTATATTAATTTCAAGTTTTTTCTTTGCCTCTAATTTTTTATTATAACGATAATTCTAAGAGGGGTAGAGGGGGAGGGGGAAAGGGTGGTGGCGGGGGGGGGGCAGCTATGTGCGCACATGTTTCTCTATGGTGTTTATGTACGTGTGTGTTATGATTATTTTCATTCAGATGAAAATAATTTCATTCTTATCCCATGAGTTTTCGTTATATTGATTTTACAAAGTACATAATAGTATATGTGCAACTGGGTGTGTGTGTGTGTGTGTGTGTGTGTGTGTGTGTAAGTAATTTAATTAAGTATATAGGTACAACTGGATTAAGAAACTTAACA